AATAGTTGACAACTATGGAATACCTTATTTACCTCGTACAATTGAGTTCATATTATCATGAGGTGTGTAAACCCAAAATAATAGAACTGAAAGCTGACCTTCGCTGTGAGTCAGTGCCCGAGTCGCGTCGCGGCACCAACCTCGTGGTCAGCCTCGCACCCGGTGCGAGCTCTTTGTTCGCTCTTATGAATTTCCACTAGCCTACGGTGCCTTATGGCCTAAGATATTCGATATTATCCATGCTTTTCGCATTAGTAAGACTCGGGGGTAGTGACGAAGGTCAATTGTAGTGCCCGGCACTACACCTCCATTCGCAGCAAATAGCATAGATATAGCGTGGATATCTCTGTGAAAGAAATATAATGTCAAAAAGTAATCACATACTGTAATGTATCTCCTGAAGGTTGATAAATGTGGGGGAACTGTCGAAACAAGCTCCTGAATAAACATATGCTGGGATCAAGGCGTCAGAGAGGTCCCTGCCTGACCTCAGCGCACACAACTCACATCGTACCTAAAAACTACCATGCATCTCCGCTCTCTATTTTCCCAGCCCTTTCATTTTCTGTGCTCATTTTGTTTGGGTTCCTGGCACTGCCATTCACTCTATGATTAGCCAACTGTCAGGCAATGACTCACGTAGGATTGTTGGCATGTTATGCTGGCCTTCTCGCCAGCGCCACCGCACCGCAACTCTCATCGGCTCTTTCCCTTCGCTCTGGCACAGAGATGTCTCAGCAAAATGGCCTCCGCACAAATTTATTAGCATCCGACGAAGATTTGCCGCAAACGCCGACGCCGCCCCAAGCCGATGACAAAACTGGAGGTGAACTACCATTCTGAACAAGTTAATGGCGCTAATCTGACCCCAGCCAGAGAGCTATGAAGATCTGTGGATCTCCAGACATTGGGTCTACACATGATTTTATTCTTTTCAATTCAATTCAAGCGCAAATGCACCCCTTCTTCACGAATGATATTCAGGTGGCGCTCCAGTGCAGCGCCGCCTGTGGCTAACGGGCGGTGCTGTACAAGCACGTGCCACGACATAATTGCATTGCCACTGCGCTGGTGTTAGGTTGCCATCTGCAGACTGCCTGGAGATCATAAACAAGCTAAGGAAAGAAAATCTAAAGGACCTCTTGGGAACCCTCACCAAGGCAGACGACACTGAGGTGACCCAAAGCCTGAAGAAGATCGAAATAGAGCAGCCGGAAAACCCTACTGCGGCGACAATTGCAGTGACGCTTGCTGGTGACAATGTAGAGACATGTAATTCGGGCATAAACGCAAATGCGGAGACGGTATGGCTTTTGGGGTTTGAGTATCGTTCAGCAACAGCTTTCCGCTAAAGGGATGAACCGCCGCAGCGCAAAGCTGAAACCCTGTGTTCTTCTAAGCACGCAAGAGACATCTATGGCAACTATTGTGGTGTTGCGCTGCAGTATCCCGGACTCGTCATTCCATTCACGCATGAGACGGAGTTCGACTGCAGCGCATTCATTCAGGCGACTTACACAGCCGGACTCGACCACCTCAAACAGTCCGTTGCTTTTTACTTCATGTTCGTTCATTGGTGCCACAGTGCCTACAACGTTTGGTTTGTACGTCCGCCGCGATTGTGTGTTTACTTTAGCATGCACAAGTCAGCTGATCATGCCGTCAATCCAAGAGCTTTCCCGTGTGTGCAGCTTGGCGGTGCTCTTCTCTTACTCTCAGTATTTGCCGGAAAAAGCTTCTTGACATTCAGGTATTCTGTGTTGAATCGCATTGCCTTCATGTTGCAGATCGAACTTCGATCCATCGACAGAAACATATGATGTTGAAAACGCTCCATTTGATAACGTAGACGCCAGCAATGTGGCGTTTCTACTGTCGGCGAAAAGCACAAAGGTCTCATGCGCCGCCACCAACAACTGCAGTGCAGGCCACGACGTTTTGTTCTGCTACTTCATAGAGCCACTTCAAAAAGGAGAAAAGCCTTTCACGTACGCTGAACTAGCCACGTGACTAGCCGGAAACACAAGCGGCAGGGCACACTTGCAAATGAGCTACAAGACGAGAGCACGATATGTTGCGGAATGGGAATTGCAAGGTGAGATAAAGATAATTGTGGTTATTGCCTGCAGGCCTGAGCTTTATAATGCCCTCTGGGGATTGGAAACAGGCGCAGCGTCCATCTCGGTTCCTAGTGTCCCTACCGTCCTTTTTGTCCTCGCTCTGATCATTCGTATTTGAGCTGAACACACAAACGACAGAGCCGCTTATGGAGATATCGGAATTGGACAAGGACTGACTGAAGACATTCCTGAATCTATTAGAAGCTGGTTCCTGATCGCTAGTGCTACGTACTGCAAGTGGCTGGTGAGGAAGAGCTTCGGCAAAAATGCAGAATACGTTTCCCTCCCCACTACATCTTGGTACTACAAGCAACGTTATCTAGAGCAATTTTAATTCGTCAGATGCCTGTTGTGGTTGGATTCCTTTTTAGTCCATATGGGTGCAAGCAAACAACACCGCACGCTTCAGTCCTTTATGATTGTTCAAAGCGAAGTCTGTGGCTGTTTATGCCTTCTGCTTAAGTTAATACATTCAAAAGCTCTCTCATGCATCGTTTCAGTGCTAGGAATTCCTTACTGGAATTTGTTATAAATACAACAAAGCATTTGGCGTTGGAGAGGGACAAGCGGCATATGTGAGTGAAGTCGCTAAACCGTAGCGCCTAAACCCTTGGATATGCCGAGCATGTCTTTTACTCAAATTAATAAATTGTCGCTTTGATCAGAGAGTCCGATCAGCCAGCTCAGCAGCCGGCGTCGTTGGCAGTTAGTTATTGATGTAGTGGTACTGCCGCTGCTGCCGACAGCCAGTCTGGAGCATGCAGCTGTGCTGAAGAAGAATAAGAGTCGGAAGGAATTAATTTAATCCAGCCATTTAAAATAATTGCCGTTTTTGTTTTTGAAGTAAGCAATCAAGTTAAAAGCCGGGATATTCTTTGAATAGGAAGTTGGCCACTAGAAGCATCGGCAAAATCGGTTACACAGCAGAGAACCAATCGAAGTGCAACAGTGCACACGGTGTGCGGCCAGCGTACACAGGGCATGCCCAGTTTTTGGAATTCAAAGCCTTCCTAAATTAATTTTAAACAAACATTTTGCCGTTTGTTGTATTTTACATTGGAAACTTTGCCTTGGGTGCCCTTCGAGTACCCAGGTCACTATCGGCTCACCGGACGCCAACGTAGCCTTCGCCCGACCCCGCTACCACGAATAGCATTTCCCTTCAAACCAGTGACTTTACGATGTCATTTTTTTACAGCTCTGGTGTACCCTTAAGGCTTTCCAATTAGGTTTGTGTTCCATACCTAATTCCGTCCCCTCATTCTGCACGGGGTCTGCACGGCGTTCCTTGGCCGCCTGTTACACTTCATCTCGCAGCAACTGGCGTATATTATCTTTCTAAAAGAACTACAATATCACAGAATAATCAGACACCCTAGCGTATCTCCCAGAGGTTGGCAAATGTACCAGAACAGCGGAAACAAGCTTCTGAATCACTGCATGGTAGGATCAATTCGTCGTAGAGCTCCTCCCATGACCGCAGCGCACACAACCCAGGCTAAACTCCCACGCATTCCCACTCTCTCTCTTCTTAGCCCTTTCGTCCTTCGTGCTCATCTTGTTTGGATTTCTGGTATTGTCATTTACTCCATGATAAACCACTTGTCAAGCAATGGCTCACGTAGGTTTGTTGGCATGTTGTGCTGGCCTTCTCGCCAGTGCCGCCGCACCACACTTCTCATCGGCTCTTTCCCTTCGCTCTGGCACAGCTGCACCACAGCAAAACAGCCTCAGCACAAATTTATTTGCATTCAGCCAAGATTTGCTGCGGTCGACAACTCCGCCCCAAGCCGATGAGAAAACTGAAGGTGAACTACTGATGTCAACAAGTGAATGGCGCTACGCTAGCCCCAGCCACAGATCTGAAGAGATCTGTGGGCCTGCAGATATCATGCCTGCAGATGATTTTATTGCTTCAAACGCAACTCAAGTGCAGATGTCCCAGTTTTTGACAAATAACATTCAGGTGGCATTTCGGCCAGTGGGCGGTCCTGTGGAGACACATGCCACGAAATAATTGCATTGCTTCCGTGTTAATGTGCCATCTGCAGACTGCCTGGAGATCATAAACAAACTAAGGAAGGAAAATCTCAAGGACCTGTTGGGAACCCTCACCAAGGCAGGGGACGAAGAGGTGACTGCAAGCCTGAAGGAGAACGAAATACAGGACCCAGAAGAGCCTACTGCCGCGAGTATTGCTGCGAAGCTGGCAGGGAGCGATGTCCAAACATGTGAATCGGGCAAGAGCGCAAATGCGACGACGGTAGGGCTTTTGGACTTTGAGTATCGTTCAGCAGCAGCTTCCCGCCAATTTGAACTGCAGCAAGACAAAGCTAAAACCCTGTTTTCTTCTGTGCATGGGAGGGGCTTCCATGAAAACCAGTGTTATGCTTCAGTATCCCGGACTCGTTATTCCATTCGCGTATGACACGGAGTTCAACTGCAACACTTTGATCCAGGAGACTTACACAGCCGGACTCAACCACCTCAAACAGTCCGTTATTTTTTAGCTCATTCGATTCAACTGGAGTCAGAGTGTCTACACCTTTTAGTTTGTGCGGGCGTCGTGGTTGTGCGTTTACTTTGGCATGCACAAGGCGGCTTATCATCGTCTAGTCGAGATTTCTTGTAGATGTGCAGCTTGGTGGTGTTCATCTCAGCCTCAGTATTTGCCAGAACAAACTTCTTGACTTTCAGCAGTTCGGTCTTGTATCTTATCGCCTTGATGCTTCAGATCGAACTTCGATCCCTCAACAGGAACATACAATCTCGAAAACGCTCCATTTAATAACGTAGACGCCAGCAATGTGGCGTTTCTGCTGTCGGAAAAAAGCAAAAAGGTCTCGTGTGCCGCCACCAAAGACTGCAAAGCTGGCCACGACGTTTTATTCTGCTACTTCATAGAACCACTTCAAGAGGGAGAAAAGCCTTTCACGTACGCTACACTAGCTACGTGACTAGCCGGCAACACAAGCAGCTCAACAAATGAGCTACAAGACAAGAGATCGATATGTTGCAGAATGGGACTTGCAAGGTACAATAAAGATTATTACACTTATTGATTATTTTTGATTGCAGGCCTGAGCTCTATAATGCCCTATGGGGATTGGAAACAGACACAGCGTTCATTTCGGTTCCCTCCGTCGCCACCGTTCTATTGGTTTCCGCTCTGATCATTTGGACTTGAGCTCAGCAAACAAGCAAATGAGCAGCTTTTCTAGGTGTTAAAGCCGTACGAATTCCGTTGAAAGGCATTCCTGAGTCGTTTAGAAGCTGGTTTCTGATCTCCAATGGTACGTGCGGCAAGTAACTGGTGAGGAAGAACCTCGGCAAAGATGCAGAATACGTTTGCCCACTATACTACACGCAGCTTTAACTTGAGTAATTTTCATTCTTCAAATACCTGTTGTGGTTGGACTCTCTTTTCTATCATGCATGCAAGCAAACAACAACGCAGGCTTCAACCCCTCATGAACGTTCACTGCGAAGCCAGTGGCCGTTTGCGCCTTTTGCCACATTTGATACATTCAGAGAGCTCTCGCAGTGCGAGGTATTCATTACTGTGATTCAGTGGTTGGTGTCGCAATGGGAAACGTGGCATGTGTGAATGAAGTCGCTAGACCCTTAACCCTTGGATATGCCGAGCATGTCTTTGACTCGAAGTAATAAATTCTCAGTTTTTTAAGCGAGTCCTCTCAGGAGGCTCATCGTCGGGCATCGTTGGCAGTTATTGTAGTCCGCTAGGCGGCACTGTGTGTACAACATGCTTCTTGACTCTGTGGACAAGACGTATTTACTTGTGAGGAATCTGTCCTACGTAAGAATGCCCACTGAGAACAATTCAAAATCGTCTGTAGCCCAAATGGATATGCCTTCCAACCTCGCAGGTTGGCGTCTTGACGTCTCGAGAGTAGTTCCCTGCATGCCGGAGCTGTGCTTCCGCACCTGAGTGGCACCTCAATCGGTCTGGCGAATTGGCCTGCATGGAGTGCCGCGGTTACGCTCCATCTATGACAGAATCTACGCTAATTCCACAGAGTATCCTGTTCTGTATTGTTGGCCTTTATAGACCCACGGGAACCCACTGCAGTGCGCGCGCACTACAGTTACTGAACTACGTGCTACTGCTGCGCGTGCCGACAGTGAAGTGCACAGACACTACAATGGGGCTGGTTAGTGCTCTAGAGAGGATAGCTAGCCAGCGACCTACGAGGGGTCGCAAGACTGGAGGGAGACAGGGCCCTCTTACCAGACAAAAAGTAAGAGAAAGTGATTATTATTTTATATGCACACGTGAATTCGTGGAATTGCGTGGAGACTGGGGCTGGAGACAGCGCCGGCGCCAGGCAAGCCTCCCTCCCTTAGGGACTAGGAGGCGAGCTCCCAGGAGGGCGCGAAACAGACAGACAGATTTTGAAAAACTCATGATTTGTATTCTTAATTGCAATAGCTGTAGTTTCTAGGGAATGGACCAGCGTATGGTGCAGTTTATAGACCCGGCCCAAGGGACTGGAAGCACGTAGTCGCAGCTGCGGGCGCAGTGCACTACAGACAGCCAGTCTGGACAGCATAGAAAGGGAACAATAATCGGTAGCCAACCATTTATGACAAAAACTGCTTCTATTTTTGAAGGAAAGAGCCAAGTAAGATGCTGGAAGATTCTTTGGCTGAGAAATCGTTTAGTAGAAGCATCGGCAAAAGCGGTTAAAGTAAAACAGCTGTTGAGGTACGCAAGCACAGACGGGTTGTAACCTGCGTACACAGCGCATGCCAATTTTTTGGAGTTTGTAGCTTGTTTAAATTAATTCTACACAAGTTTTCTGCTTCATGTTTTAGTTCACATTGGAAGCTTTGCCATGGAAGCACTTCGAGTAACCAGGTCACTCTCCGCTCACCGCACGCCATCGCCGGACCCCGCGACCGCGAACACGAATGGCGTTTTCTTTCGAACCAGCGGCTTCACAATGCATTTTTACAGCTTTTTCATATCCTTAAGGGTGTCTAAATAGGTTTTTGCAATTTACCTATTTCCGTCCCCTTAATTTGGACGATGTGTGCACTTCGTGCCTTGACCGCCGGTGACTCCTCCACTCGCAGCAACCGGCGTATACATCTTTGCGGAGAAAATATTATACCGCAAAAAAATCAAATAAATATTATACCGCAAAGTAATAGAATACTATAATATATCTCTCAAGGGTTGATAAGTTAGCATAAACGGTCGAAAAAAGCTCCTGAGTAATTTGTATGGTGGGATCAGAGCCCCGCCATAACCTTAAGGCACACAGCCCACACCATTGCCACAAGCTCACACGCATTCCCGCTCTCTTCCTTCCTAGCCCTTTCGTTCTTCGTGCCCATTTTATTTGGATTTCTGGCATTGTCATTTATTTCGTGATAAGCTAATTATCAGGCGATGACTCACGCAGGGCTGTTAGCATGGTACGCTGGTCTTCTCGCCAGCGCCGCCGCACCGCACTTCTCATTGGCAGTTTCCCTTCGCTCTGGCACAGCGGCGTCTCATCAAAACAGTCTCCGCACAAATTTATTTGCATTCAGCCAAGATTCGCCCACGGCGCCCGCAGCCGATGAGAAGACTGGAGGTGAACTACTGATGTGAAGTAGTGAATGGCGCTACGCTAGCCCCAGCCACAGATCTGTCAAGATCTCAGGGCCTCCAGCAATTATGCCTGCACATGATTTTACTTTTATCAATGCAAATTAAATCGCAAATGCCTCCGTTCTTGACGAATGACATTCAGGTGGCGTTTCAGTGCAGCCCCACCCGTGGCTAGTGGGCGGCTCTGTGGAAACACATAGCACGACATAATTACATTGCCATTACGCAAGTGTTAGCGTGCCATCTGCAGATTGCCTGGCCATCATAAACAAGCTGAGGAGCGAAAATCTCAAGAATCTGTTGGGAACGCTCACCGAGGCAAATGACGGAGAGGTGACTGCAAGCTTGACGACGATTGACGTAACAGGAGCAGATGGACTTACTGCCAAGAAAATTGCATCAAAGCTTGCAGGTGAAAATGTGGAGACATGTGACTTGGGCGAAAACGCGAATGCGAAAACGGTAGGGCTTTTGGGCTATAAGTATCGTTCAGCCGCAGCTTCCCGCTAAAGTGATGAACCTCCGCAGATTCAAACCCTGCAGTCCTCTGCGCATGTGAGAGGCATCTATTGATATCATAATGCTGTTGTGCCGCAGTATCCCGGACTCGTCATTCCATTCGCGCCGTCCACGCAGGTCGACTGCAATGCTTTGATCCAGGCGACTTACACAGCCGGACTCGACCATCTCAAACAGTCCGTTCTTTTTCACTTCGTTCTTTTTCACGGGTTCTACTGCGCCCACACCTTTTAGTTTGTACGTATGTGAGAGCTCAGTGTTCACGTTAGCATGCGCAAGATGGTTGGTGACTCTTAGCTCAAGATTTTTGTCAAGTTTTGCAGCTTGGTGGTTCTTGCCTTTGTCTCAATATTTTCCACAAAAACTTCTTTATCTTCACTTATTCCGTTTTACATCCCATCGCCTTTATGCTGCAGATCGAACTTCGATCCCTCAACGGGGACATATGATGCTACGAAAGCTCCATTTGATAAAGTAGACGCCAGCAATGTGGCGTTTCTGTTGTCCGCGAAAAGCACAAAGGTCTCATGCGCCGCCACCAACAACTGCAGTGCAGGCCACAACGTTTTATTCTGCTACTTCATAGAGCCACTTCAAACTGGAGAAAAGCCTTTCACGTACGCTGAACTAGCCACGTGACTAGCCGGCAGCACAAGCGGCAGGGCACACTTGCAAATAGTTCAAAAGACGAGAGTTCGCTGCAGAATGGGAATTGCAAGCTACGATAAGAGTTACAGCTATTAATTGATTTTGCTTGCAGAACTGAGCTTTATAATGCTCTTTGGGGATTGGAAACAGGCTCAGCGTCCATCTCGGTTCCCAGCGTCGCCACCGTCCTTCTCGTCCTCGCCTTGATCATTCGGACTTGAACATAACAAACAAACAAACGAGCAGCTTCTGGAGATGTGGGGGTTGCACAAATTCCGTTTGAAGATATTCCTGAATCGTTTAGAAGCTGGCGTCACATCTCTAGTGCTACGTACTGCAAGTTGCTCGTGAGGAACAGCTTCGGCAAAAATGCAAAATACGTTTCTCTCCCCACTACACCTTTGTACTACAGGAAGCTTCACCTAGAGCAACTCTTATCCATTGCAAGCATGTTGTGGTTGGACTCCTCTCAGCTCATGCATGTATGTAAACAATACCGCAGGGTTTAGTCCTCATGAACGTTCACAGTGAAGCCTGTGGCTGTTTACGCCCTCTGCTACAGTTAATGCATTCAAAGAGCGCCCTCATGCATTGTCTTGGTGTTGGGTATTCATTACTGAGATTCGTTGCACGCACCACAAAAGCACTTGTCGTCCAAGTGGGAAAAGCGGCATGTGTGAATGGGGTCCCTAAACCCTAGACACAAAACTATAAACCCTTTGATATGCTGAGCATGTCTTTGACTCACAGTAATAAATTGTCGGTTTGGTAAGTGAGTCCGCCCAGTCGGCTGAGCAGCCGGCGTCGTTAGTCGTTAATGAACAATCTGCTGCCGGTGCCGACAGCCAGTCTTCTGCCCACAGGTGTGTCGAAGTGGGACAAGAATGGGCAGGAATTAATATAATCCAATCATTTACAATGAACACTTTGATTTTAAAGAGAGCACGCAAGGAGGAAACCGGGAGATTCTTTGGCTGAGAAATCTGCCAGCAGAAGCATCGGCAATATGGGTAAAAAGTGAGCAGCCATCGAGAGTACGCGAGCACACAACGGCGTGTGGCCAGCATACACAGCGTGCGCCAATTTTTTGGAGTTTGTACCTTTCTAAAATTGATTTAAAATAATGCAAGCTAGCCGCATATTTTATTTTACATTGGGGGTTTTGCGTGGGAATCGCTTCGTGTAACCAGGTCACCCTCGACTCACTAACGGCTACCGTGACCTTCGCCGGAACCCGGTAACACGAAAAGCATCTTCTTTCCAACCCATTGATTCGAACTGTTTCTCTTTACAGCCCCTTCGTATCCTTAAGGGCTTCTAATTAGGTTTGTGTTCCCTACCTATTTTCGTCCCCGTAATTTGGACGCTGTGCTCCCGTGGTGCCTTGACCGCCGGCGGCTCCTCTGTCGCAGCAACTACCGTATATATCTTTTTGAAAGAAATATAATATCACAAAGCAATCATATACCGTACTGTAGCTCCCAAAGCTTGATAAATGCAACTAAACAGTCGCATCTATCAAGCTTTGGGGTGGCGGTGCCTGTATGGTGGGATACAGGCGCCGTCGCCCCCACGACGTCAGCGCACACTTCGTCGCCACAAACTCCCAAGCATACCCGCTCTTTGCTTTCCTAGCCCTTTCGTCCTTCGTGCCCCTTTTTTCTGGTTTTCCGTTACTATCATTTACTTTGTGATAAGCCAGTTGTCAGGCAATGTCACATGTAGGGTTGTTGGCATTTTACGCTGGCCTACTCGCCAGCGCCGCCGCACCACACTTCTCATTGGCACTTTCCCTACGATCTGGCGCAGCGACGTCTCAGCAAAACAGCCTCCACACAAATTCATTTGCATCCGGCCAAGTTTCTTTGCGGACGCCGCCCGCAGGCAATGAGATAACTGCAGGTGAACAACTAATGTGAACAAGTGAATGGCGCTTCGCTAGCCCCAGCCACAGATCTTTGGAGATATGTGGACCTGCAGCGATTATGCCTGCACATGAGTGTGTGCTTCTATGTGCAATTCAAGCGCAAATGCCCCCGTTTCTGACGAATGACATTCACGTGGCGCTTCAGTACAGCCCCACCCCTGGCTAGTGCCAGCCCTGGGGAAACAAATGCCACAAAATAATTGCATTGCCATTACACCCCCTGTGACACTACGTCTGTGTCAAGGTGCCATCTGCAGATTGCCTGGACACCATAAACAAGCTAAGGAGCGAAAATCTCAAGGACCTCTTGGGGGCTCTCACCAAGGCAGAGAACAACGATGTGACTGAAAGCCTGAAGGCGATCGAAATAGAGGAAGCCACAACCCTTACTACTGCGACAATTGCAGCAAAGCTTGCAGGTGACAATGTAGAGACATGCGCCTCGGGCGAAAATGCGGATGCGAAGACGGTGGGGCTTTTAGGCTTTGAGTACCGTTCAGCAGCAGCTTTCCGCTAAAGTGATGAACAGCCCCACAGCAAAGCTAAAACCCTGTGTTCTTTTGTACATGCGAATGGCCCCTGTGGCAACTATGCTGGTGTTGCATTACAGTATCCCGGACTCGTCATTCCATTCGCGCATGACAAGGATTTCGACTGTAACGCTTTGATCCAGGCGACTTACACAGCCGGACTCGAGCATCTCAAACAGTCCGTTGTCTTTTAGCCCATTTTCTTTGACTGGCGTCACAGTGCATAAACCTTTTAGTTTGTATGCGCGTCGTGGTGCCGTGTCTGCTTTATTGTGCACAAGGTAGCTGAGTCCACGTGCCTTTCCAGGTGTGCAGCGTGGCAGTGCTCGACTCATTCTCAGGATTTGCCAGAAAAAGCTTCCTGATCTTCAGCTATTCTGCACATAACAATACAATAAGAGTCGAAACAGTTTTGACTTTGTGCTGCAGATCGGACTTCGAACCCTCAACAGGAGCATATGATGTTAACAATGCTCCATTCAATAACGTACACGCCAGCAATGTGGCGTTTCTGCTGTCGGAAAAAAGCAAAAAGGTCTCATGTGCCGCAACCAAAAACTGCACAGCTGGGCACGACGTTTTATTCTGCTACTTCATAGAGCCACTTCGAAATGGAGATAAGCCTTTCACGTAAGCTGAACTAGCCACGTGACTAGCCGGCAGCCCAAGAGGCAGGGCACACTTCAAGTGAGCTACAAGAGCACGATATGTTGCACAATGGGGATTGCATGGTGCGATAAAGATAATCATAATTATGAACTAATTTGGCCTGCAGAACTGAGCTTTACAATGCTCTCTGGGGATTGGAAACAGGCGCAGCGTCCATCTCGGTTCCCAGCGCGGCCACCGTTCTTTTCGTCCTGGCTCTGGGCATTCGGACTTGAACGCAGCAAATGAACGACAGAGCAGCTTCTGGGGATGTCAAAGTTGTGCAAATTCCGTTTGAAGACATTCCTGAATCGTTGAGAAGCTGGTTTCTGATATCTAGTGCTGCGTACTGCAAGTGACTGGTGAGGAAGAGCTTCGGCAAAAATGCGGATACGTGTCTCTCCCCACTGCATCTCAGTACTGCACATAACGTTATCTAGAGTGATTTTAATCTGTCAGATGCCTGTTGTGGTTGAATTCCTGTCAGCATATATGCGTGAAAGCAAAAAGTACAGCAGGTTTCAGTCCTCCATGAACGGTCACACCGAAGCCAGTGGCTGTTTACGCCTTTTGCTAGAGTTAATACATTCGAAGAGTGCCCGCATGCAATGTGTTAGTGCTCGTAATTAATTACTGAAATTCGATGTACGCACCGTACAAGCATTTGTTGTCGCAGTGAGAAACGCAACATGTGTGGAGTTGCTGAACCCTGAACGCTGAACACTTGGACACGCCGAGCATGCCTTTGACTCAAAGTGATAAATTGTCGGTCTGATAAGAGAGTCCGCTAGGGCAGCTGAGCACCAGGCGCCGGTTGTAGTTACAGAACAATGTGCTGCTACTGCCAGTGCCCACAGCCAGTCTGGAGGACATGAGTGTGTTGAACTGGAACAAGAATTGGCAGAAATTAGTTTAATCAAACCAAACATAATAAGCATTGTATTTTTGAAGAGAGCAATCAGGGAAGAAGCCGGAAGATTCTTTGGCGGAGAAATCTGCCGGTAGAAGCATCGATAAAACCGGTAGAACCGCCGCCTAAGTACGTGACAGCACATGGCATGTGGCTAGCGTACACCGCATATGCCAATGTTTTGCAATTTGAAGCTTTGCCAAACTAATTTTAAATAAAAATATTGCTGTGTGTTCTAGTTGGCAAGATAAGTGTTGCCTTCGAGTAACCAGGTCACCTCCGCTCACCGCACGCCATCGTGACATTCTCCATACTCCAGGATTAGCATTCTCTTTCACACCAGTGACTTCATAATGTCTTTCCTCACAGCGTTTCTTTATTAACAACGATTTTTAAATAGCTCTACGCTGTTTACCTACTTCCGTCCGCCTAATTTGGACGGCGTGTGCAAGGTGTCCCTTGACCGTCAGTGACACCTCCAGTCGCAGCAACTGTTGTGTATATCTTTCTGAAGGATAAAATCACAAAGTAATCAGCTACTGTACCGTACCTCCCAAAGAATGATAAATGTGCCGGGACAGTCGAAAGCAGCTTCTGAGTACGTGTACGGTGAGATCAAGCCGTCATGCAGCTCCCCCCACTACCCCAGCGCACACAGCCCACATCATTGCCACAAACTCCCAAGCATTCCCGCTCTCTGTTTTCCTAGCCCTTTCTTCATTCTTGCTCATTTTTTCCGGACTTCTGCCACTGCCACTTACTTTATTGCAAGCCAGTTGCCAGGCAATGGCTCATGTAGGGTTGTTGGCATATTACGCTGGCCTTCTCGCCAGCGCCGCCGCACCACACTTCTCATTGGCGCTTTCCCTTCGCTCTGGCACAGCGACATCTCAGCAAAACAGCCTCAGCACGAATCTATTTGCATCCGGGCAAGACTTGCTACGAACGGAGCCCACCGCCGAGGACAAAACTACAGGTAACTACTATTGAAACGAAATGAATGGCACTACGCTAGCCCCAGCCACAGACCTGTAGAGATCTTTGGGCCTCCAGAAATTACGCATGCACATGATTTCATCCTTTGCAGTCCAAACGTAAATGCCGCCGTTTTGGACGAATGACATTTCGGCGCTTCCGTGCAGCCCCACCCGTGGATAGCGAACGGTCCTGTGCAAACACGTGCCATCTCAAAATTGCATTGCTATTACGCGCGTGGTATCTTGTTATCTGCAGATTGCCTGGACATCATAAACAAGCTAAGGGGAGAAAATCTCAAGGGCCTATTGGAGACCCTCAGTACGGCAGACGAACAAGAAGTAACTCAAAGCCTGAAGACGATCAGGGTCCCAATAACGGACCCTGCAGACCCTACTGCCAAGAAAATTGCAGTAAAGCTTGCAGGTGACACTAACACATGTGAATCGGGCAAAGACGCGAATGCGGAGAAGGTAGGGCATTTGGGCTTTGAGTACCATTCAGCAGCAGCTTTCCTCTAAAGTGAGGAACCGTCGCAGCGCAAAGCTCAAACCCTGTGTTCTTCTGCGCATGCGAGAGGCTTCTACGGCAACTATTGTGGTGTTGTGCTACAGTATCCCGGACTTGTCATTCCATATGCGCATGGGACGCAGCCCAAGTGCAGCGATTTGATCCAGGAGACTTACACAGCGGGACTTAACCACCTCAAAGAGTCCGTTGTTTTTACTTCGTTTTCGTGCATCCGTGCCACAGTGCCTACATCTTTTATTTCATGCGTGCGTCTGTGTCCTGTGCTTACTTTAGCATGGACAAGGTGGATGCTCCTTAATTTAAGAGCTTTTCCAAATGTGGAGCTTGATGGTGCTTGGCTCAGTCGCAGCACTTGCCAGGGGAACCTTCATGATCATCAATTATTTTCTGTTGAATCCTATCGCTTTTATGCTGCAGGTTGAACTTCGATCCCTCCGCAGGAACATATGATGTTGCAGTTGCTCCATTCAATAACGTAGACGCCAGCAATGTGGCGTTTCTACTGTGGGAGGAAAGCAAAAAGGTCTCATGTGCCGCCACCAACAACTGCAGTGCAGGCCACAACGTTTTATTTTGCTACTTCATAGACCCACTTCAAGAAGGAGATAAGCCTTTCACGTAAGCTGAACTAGCCACGTGACTACCGGCAGCACAAGTGGCAGAATACACTTGCAAATGAACTACAAGACGAGAGCACGATATTTTGCAAGGTGCAATGAAGATAGTTACAATTATTGATTTATTTATCTTGCAGAACTGAGCTTTACAATGCTCTCTGGGGATTGGAAACAGGCGCAGCTTTCACTTCGCTTCCCAGCGTCGCCACCGTTCTTCTCGCCCTCGCTTTGATGATTCGGACTTGAGCTTAACAAACAAACGACAGACCAGCTTCTGTAGATGTCGAAGTTGTACAAGTTCTGTTCGAAGACATTGCTGAGTCGTTTAGAGGCTGGCTCCTGATATCTAGTGCTACTTACTGCAGGTGGCTGGTGAGGAACAGCTTCCGCAAAGCTGCAGAATACGTTTCTTTCCCACTATATCTTAGTACTACACGCAGCTCTATTTAGAATAATTTGTAATTTGTTAAATGCCTGCTGTGGGTGGATTCGTTTCAGCTCTTATGCATGCATGTAAGCACCGCAGGCCTCAGTCCTTCATGAACGTTCGCAGCGATGCCGGTGGCCGTTTATGCCTTACGCCAAAGTTAATACCTTCGAAGAGCGCCCGCATCTAATGCTTTGATGCTAGCTACTCGTCACTTTGATTCGATGCACACACCACAAAAGCATTTGGCGTCGCAGTGGGACTCGTCATGTGTGAATAAAACGCGAAACCCCAAACCCTAAACCCCAAACCCTTTAATATGGTTAGCATGCCTTTGAATCAAAGTGACAAATTGTCGGTTTGATAAGCGGTTCCGCTCAGGCAGCTCAGCATCCGGCGTCCGTAGCAGTTAGTGAACTATTTGCAGCTGCTGGCGGTGCCGACTGCCAGTCTCGAGCACACAGAAGTGTCGAAGTGGAACGAGATCCGGCAGAAATTAATTTAACCGAACCACTTATAATACGCACCTCTATAGTTTTTGAAATGAGGAGTCAAGCAACAAGATGGAGAATCCGTTGACTGAGAAATCCGCCAGGAGAAGCATCGGTAAAATTCTGACAGGCTGAACGATCGTCGAAGCACATGAGTGCACAGGCCGTGTGGCCAGCCTACACTGTGTGCACCCATTTTGGGGAGTGTTTACCTTCCCTAAATTAATTTCGGTCAAAGGTATTGGTCTGCCTTTTAGTGCACATTAGAGATTTTGTCTTGGAAGCCCTTCGAGTAACCCGGTCACCATCCGCTCACCGCCAGCCATCGTGACCTTCGCCGGACCCAACTACAACGAGTAGCATTTTCTTTCGAACCCATGCCTTCACAGTGCTTTTCTTTACTTCTCCTTTATATCCTTAGAGGTTTCTGAATAGGTTTATATCCCTTACCCATTTCCATCCTCTTAATCTGGACGGCCTGTGCATGGAGTGAACAGCTGGCCTGCGCCGTTACTACGTATGGTCCCTGGGCTCGTCTGACTTAAGTGTACACTCTGCACCTGCAGTCTAAAGTCCATGATTCTCGCCTACCACTACTGAATACCATAAATAGCCATATAAAATTGAGTTCATATTATTGAAAGGTAAGAGAAACCCAAAATAATAGAACAGTCTGTTGACCCTCGCTGAGGGTCAGTGCCTGAGTCACGGCACCAACCTCGCGTCCAGCCCCGTACCCGGTGCTGGCTAGCGAGCACACTATTCCCTTTTATGATTTCACAATATCCAATGGTGCCTTATGCCTTAAAATATTCTATATTATTCATGCTCTTTCGCGTTACTAAGCCTCGAGGGGTGGCGACGAAGGTCAATTGTAGTGCCTGGCACTACAACTTCCCCCCTGCTAACGAACAGAAACCGCTTGTCGGTTTTTTTTCTTTGGTTCCGGCCCTTCTCTTCTCCTCATTCTCTCCGTTCATCACGCTTCACAACAATCTCGGAACGTACCACACGTCAGGGGCTGTGGGCCATTGGCTAGTACGTCAAATCGGCCGACCTTCTCTGACTAGGAATTAGGTCTTCACGGATCTCGGCAGGTGCGGTATCATTCTCCGGCCACTCTTACTCCTTACCCAGCCCTTCTACTCGTAGAGGTCGGTGTCCTCGGACGTCCTGTAGTCCACTAGTAGTCGTCTAGCCCTCCCTTAACATGATACTAGTGACATTAGTTCCTTGAAAGTAAGCAGCTGGCAGAGTCTTGGATTGTAAGGTGCTCCTGCACCCCTTCTCCCCCTTCCCAGGACGAGAACGGGCGGGCGAACGCGTATAAAGAGAAAGGGGCGAGAGCAGCGGAAAGGAAGGAGAAGAGGAAGGAGAGAAGAAGAAGAAGAACGTCGTCAGGATGGATGGCGTTTGCGGTGGCGGCGTCGCCACGCCCGAAGTAAGGCGGGGCACCCTGCCAAGTGATGTGCGGGTTCCCATGTGGCCCTTTCCTCGGGAACACCCCGCCACTTAACAAGATAGTGCGCCTCCTCGCCAGTCCCTCTTTGGTCCAGGATATAGTCGACAAGATACTGGTCCGTAGGGTTGCCGGCGTCGTCGCGTGTTGGAGGCCAGCCCACTGGAGCTTCGTGTGGAACTAAAGCGGGATCGCGGGGATGATGTGGGACCAATTGTGAAACATGAAAAACATTGT